GGGGACGTTCTTTGATGTAGAGGTTACCCCCCTTTAAATCACCCTTTTTTGTGTCCCCCTTTCCATTCTCCATTTAGTTTCTGGTAAATGGTAGGGAGGATGGGTGGTCCTCTTAAAATATATAAATACAAATATTTTTTTTTACCGACAGAATGTGTATTTATATGTGCATGAAAGTGCCTGTGTGATAATGCATCTCTTTTTTTGGAGTGCGAATGGGCAAACTACCTAAATTCCAAGACTGCAGGGGTATTAAAGTTATATTTAGTTATGTCCCGAACGGTTCGCGAATGATTCGCCACGAACAGTTCGCCACGGACTAATCATTGAGTAAACTTTGACCCTGTACCTCACAGTCAGCAGACACATTCCAGCTAATCAGCAGCAGACCCTCCCACCTCCTGGACAGCTAAGAATGCAGCTTCAAAATGGATGCTGTCCAGGAGGTGGGAGGGTCTGGGAGGGACGGTCTGCTGCTGATGAGTCCGTGGCGAACCGTTAGGGACATCACTAGTTATATTACATTAAGTGATATACACAAATTACTATTTACGAGTAACAGTATTAAAAAATTACTAAGGATTTTGTATGGTCTGGTACGGAAGTAATTGACACCAACCCTAGTGACGTCACTGACCACGTATACCAAACATTTTGATAGTTTGTTTACTAAACTCCCCTTTGTAGCAATTTAAAATTCCAATGCAAAATTTAGGCTAAAAAGCTAAAATAACATTTTTTAATTCACTTTTAATTTTCACGCTAGTGAATAACTCTGACTTCAATATGAGAACCCTGTACTCAAAGTTATACTGCTCCTAACAAATCCATCTACAGAATATGTCAAACTACGTGGGGGAATATGCGGTTTGCAAATGGCTCTTTAATATATCTGACCAACCTTACTACTCAAAGTAATGATATTTGTATACATTTTTTTTACCCATGACTTGTAAATTTTTATTTTAAATAATCTCATGTGAGCCTTATCATTTACAAATTGTTTAGATAAAATTAGCTATAGGTAGGTATGTGTTTGTCATTAAAGGATTCCTGACCCTATAGTGTTACAGCCATCATTTAGGTGTCTTTCCCCCCTTATAAGGGGTTAAAACGTACCTTCTTTTCAGCGCCGCGTGCTCTGCCCCTGACGTGCCTCCTTGGTAATATTAGAATTGCAGATTTTTTTGCCAATCGGATTGGCTGAAATTGGCAAGGATGAAGGATAGGGGTGGGGCCAAAAACTGGCTTGGCCAATCTGCACCTCCTAATAGAGATGCATTGAATCGGTAGTGCTGACTACTATGCAGCACTGTCCCAGGAAGCATCTCCAGTGACCATCTCTGAAAAGGCAGTGTTTGCATGAAAATGCCTTAAAGTACCACTATAGTGCCAGGAAAAAAAACTCGTTTTCCTGGCACTATGTAGTCCTTAGGTGCCCCCACGATCATTGCCCCCCTCCCGCTGGGCAACCCCTTCAGCCACTTACCATTCTCCAGCACTGGGCTCCCTCGGTGCTGGGGAATTTTCCTCATCCTGCCGACATCAAGAGCCACGCGCGCATTCAAACCGCCCATGGGATAGCATTGCTCACTGTGATTTTCACAGTGAGAATCGTGGAAGCGGCCTCTGGTGACTGTCAGTGAGACAGCCACTAGAGGCTGGATTAACCCTTAGTTTCTCTGAAACTGCTAGGTTTACAGCTGCAGGGTTAAAACTAGAGGGATCTGGCACCCAGACCACTTAATTGAGCTGATGTGGTCTGGGTGCCTATAGTGGTCCTTTAAGGAAATGATTATACTCACCAGAACAACTACATTAAGCTGTAGTTGTTCTGGTGACTATAGTGTCCTTTTAAATTAATTCAAATTGCCTGTACAACATCCAACAATTCCTACCACTTGGAGGAGACATGTGGCTCACAACTGCTCTTTACATTCATGTTTGTGGTCTGTACATCCAGGTCAGTGGCATCGTGAAATAATAACCATTGATTTAGACATCTGCTTAGAATTTGGCTAGGAGAATACATAGGTTAAAGGAACACTATCATGTTAGGAATACAAAACTGTATTCTTAGCACTATGGTGTCCCTGCCCCTATTTCTTTAGGTTCCACCCCACCCGTGAATAAATGGTTACGTTGCTAACTTACCACTTTTCAGCCTTGGCGCTGGCTCGTTTACTCTTCTTGCAACATCACACCGATGGGGAACTTAATGAATCAAGGCTTTCCTGTGGGAACTTTGAGTACGTTAGACATTATGCAAAACGTGAGGATGTCCAACATTGTTTCACAGAGTCAAACTCCATTAGAGACCAAGAGGCAACTAAACATTGCAGTTTCTCTTCATCCAGACCACTACAATGAGATGAATTGGTGTGGGTGCCTGTAATGTCCCTTTAAGGTAGATGGTTGATTGTGATATACTGCTGTTAAAGTGTATGTAATATCTATCTATATTTTTTTCAGTGTGTGCCTTAAGGGAGAACAATGAACAGTAATACATTTGTGAATATCTGAGCTTTGCTAGTTGTATTGGACCCTTCTTATGTGTTCTGTTAATTAGTTATCATAAGTCAATTGTATTTGTTTTCAGTTGATACCAGTGCCTTGGTTTTTTTTTTCTAATTATACATTTTACTTTAATAACATTAAAGGATCACTATAGGGTCTGGAACACAGACATGTATTCCTGACCCTATAGTGTTAACACCACCCTCTAGCCCCCCTGGGCCCCTCATGCCTCCATAAATATAGTAAAAATCTTACTGTATTCAAGCCTGAAGCTGTAAATATGCATGCTGCTAGAAAAACATGCAGTTTGCTGACATGTGGTAGCTTGATCCAATCACAGTGCTTCCCCATAGGATTGGCTGAGACTGACAAAGAGGCAGATCAGGGGTAGAGCCAGCATGATTCAAACACAGCCCTGGCCAGCATCTCCTCATACAGATGAAGTGAATCAATTAATCTCTATGAGGAAAATTTAGTGTCTGCAGGCAGTGGGAGGAGATACTGAATCACAGGATGCTGTGCACAGTGCTGCCCTGTGCTCTGCTGACAGCAGATCTGAGTGGATGGAGGCATATTATGCCTCCATCAACTCCGAAGTCCCTCTGGTTCACTCTGAGTGACTGCAACTGGAGGTCTTTGTAGCTTTCAATGTAAACACTGTATTTTCTTTGAAAATACAGTGTTTACACGAGAAAGGCTGCAGGGAGCTATAGTTCTCACCTGAACAACCTCATTAAGCTGAAGTTGTTCAGGTGACTATAGTGTCCCTTTAATACTGTGTAATAAAGGATAAAAGAGCTCCAGGGATTCTAAAAATATATATTAGAAGACCTGAAATACAAACTTTTCACTCGTGACACGGACAGCAGCAGAAAATATTATTTAAGTCATCAGTAGAGACCAGTCTTGATCTTTCACAATCCAGAAAAAGCAATCTACTGTAATTTGACTTCAAAGTGTTGTTGTGGAACATTGTGAGCACACAACATTGCTTTCTTTGATATGTTTCACGCCAGAGAACGAACAAATAGGACTCAGAACAGACATAGGCAGGGCTATTTTATATATTATACATATAAACATTTTTAAATCAAAATTGTTGAAATATATCACAATTTTCTCCCCTATACCATATAAGGATACCCACCTTTATTGCTGTGGATATAAAAATCTAGAGTTTTCTCCTTTCCTTCCTTTAAAGTGTTTAAAGGAACAAAACACTCCAACCTGGTGCTTTCAGTCAATAAGCCAGACATGCACTGGAGGCCTTAGCTCAGGCTTTCAACTCTCTTGGAAGCCAAGACTGGTGCCCAGCGTACCCCCAATTAAGTTGTCAAACTGTTCGTACCTGATTTGTCTACTTACCCTGGGAGGGCATAAGTGACACAAAGATGGATAGGTGACACACTTTTATGATTTTCAAGATCTGAAACATTCAACTTTTTTTTATTATTTTTTTTATCAACCAGTCTGTGCTCAATGTGGTTGGAGGGATCTGCAGATAATCTTCAACATGCGTTATTGGATTGTTCAAAAATGTCAAGTTATTATCTTAATTCAAAGTTCAGTTATTATTCACGTTGATAAATAAGAAAAAATCTAAAACCTTTCAAATTCTGGTAAACATTTGTTCAGCTAAAATTCTAAGGACCTATAACTGCTTGAGCAGGAGAAATAAGAACACGATAAGATGTAAATGTCACGCCAAAGGTGCATAATTCATTCTTGCACTATAGAATATTGCAATTTAATGTGATTTGTGTAGTGCATACATGAATTGGCTACTTGGTAGAGGTGTTATGGTCAATTTGATTGAAGAGGATAGGTGTCAGAAGGGGTTAATTTAAATTATATAGGAATGTGATAGATGTCAAAAGATTTACAAAATTCAATCCAATTTTGAAGCTATGACACGAGCTCTTCTGCAAGGTGTGAAATGGTACACATGAGTTGCCTGTAAGTCTGGTTTTCAATGTAAATAACTTTCTTCTCCCATATGCCTGTATCTCCTCTAAGATAGAGAATCGTTGTTTCCAGTATCATTTCCAAAAGAAACAGTAATAATAACCCACAGGTGAATAATTCTGCCTCATTTAGTGCATATTCAGAAAGGGGAAAGCAAACCCTACAAAAAGAGCGTAAACATGGCTAGTACAGCATAAGCAGTTTGGAAGGAATTGTGAAGTTCCCTATATTAGGTCATAAGAAGGAAGTGTGACATATCTATAGAATTTAAAATTGCAACAAATTCATAGATGCAATCATTGTTCTATGGAAAGCACAAGCGGGGAGATAAAATAAAAAAATTCTATTTGGACTGATGTTGGTCTGGAACACAAGGGGGAGGTCACTTATTGTTCTTATGGGTACGCCTTCTCTCCACCTATACCACCTCTGGGCCAGCTTGGAAACTTGAGATACATACAGGAGGTAAAAATGTAATTGATGGGCAAATGTTTAGTCAGGGCTGGTGCAAGGATTCTTGCTGCCCTAGGCCAGTGTTTCCCAACCCAGTCCTCAAGGCACACCTACCAGTTCTTTGTAAAAACACCTTAGACACAACTGGGTAATCCCTAAATCCTGGACTGGTAGGTGTGCCTTGAGGACTGGGTTGGGAAACACTGCCCTAGGCAACAATCCATTTTGCCGCCCCCTCATAAATGCAAGTACATTCTCTCAGAGGTTTATTGACTAAATTCTGAATTGCAGTGAAGATACACTCTTCCTCATACATACATCCATACACACTTAATGCCTAATGCATACATCAATAGACACATACTGCCCAATACATATATCCATACACACATACTACTTAATATTTATATCCATACACTTATACTGCTTAGTACATACATTAATGCATTTGGTGGGATTTAATGTATACTAATGGAGGGATTCAATTCATGTGAACTTTAAGTAATTTTTTTTTCATTTTTATATAGAATTATATTAATATACATTATAAATATACTTTAATATATAAGAATCTCTTTACATGGTAACGCACACATTAGCACACACACTCTCGCTGACATGCATAAACTGTCACTCACACACTCTCACTGACGTATACACACAGTGTCACACACTCACTAGTACACACTCACTGACATACACAGTGTCACAAACACATTCTCACTAACACACACACTTTCTCATTGACATACACAGTCTCACTTACACATACTCACTAACACACACACTGCCACTCAAACACAAGCTCGCACCACTTTACAAGTCACACTTTATTTACACACAGAGCAATTCAGTACACACAGACACACCAATTTACAATTATGTAAAATAATCAGTTCTCCTTACCTCCAAATGGTCCTAAGTGATGTGAATAGAGGAGAGGGGTCCAGTCTGCAGGAAGTGTTCTCGAGCCATGCACTGTGAGCACAGCCTGCTTCCTGCTCCCTGCAGAGTGTTCCCGGTGTTCACAGGCAGGGGGCAGCTGGGATACAAAGTCATTTTCTGGCTCCTCCTGCCTGCAACAAGCAGAGTGTTCTTCCCAGGAGGTGAGGAAAGTAGCCCAGCAGATGGCTGCGCTGGGGGGTATCTAAGGAGCCGCTCACCCAGCACAGCAGCAGCCAAGGCAGCCCACCAGGAAACCTCTCGGTGGGCGCCCCCAACAGGCCGGTGCCCCAGGGAATGCCTTTTTCCCCTAATGGTAGCGCCAGCCCTGTGTTTAGTGTGCTTACTAGGGGCCAAGATCTAATTTTGTGTAAGTCGCCATCTTTCCTTACCAGAGACCACCCAGACAAAAGACAGTTACTTTTAGAATCTAAGTAATTAGTACTTCTGTTAATTTCTCCTTTTTATTTATTATCTGTTGTTGGCGTAAATAATTTGTCATTTGTTTTTTTTATATGCACTGTGACCATTGTTTGTTCATAATAAATATTCCTTTATTAAGTTCTGCCTTTGTCTGGTAAAGACTCGTTACTTGAAAAGACCAATTTATTAGTGTTTAGAAGTTGAAAAGATATTTTGCTAATTTGTTTTTGGTGGGTTTTTATTTTGATGTACTTGGGGTACCAAGGCACTCCATTTCTAATTTGCCTTGGTGGTGACCACGTTATGAGATTATTTATGCTATTATAATAAGTGTGGGTGGATTTTTATTATTATTTCCGGTCTAGTGCAGACAAATGGTGAATTGTAACCCTTTCATCACCAGAAGCAAGTCGCGTGCACACTTGGAGTAGGGTACGTTCGTGTCCAGTAAAGTCAGTTCATACATTGACCATTCGCTTTAAAAAAGATGAAGCATTCTGTAGCAATCCGTCCAGGGGAGATTTGGGTATTCAGGGTGAATGCTAGTGTCCTTCGTCCAATGTATTGGACGAATGAAACTGGATTCCAATGAAACTGGATTCATTGAAACATGCTTGCTAGTGACATCATTTCTGCTTACATGGAGCTGACCCACTGCATAGGTGATTCTGAATATTTTGTCCTTGGGTCCACTCAAATTAAACTTGACAAATACAATACTCAACCTACCCCCTTCCCAAAATAAAACAAAACTAACAAACAAACACTTGTATCCATTAATAGGCTACATTGGGTTCGAAATGAAAAAAAAAAAAAAAAAACATGAGCAGATGTAACTGGCAAGCTTAAATAAGGTATATTGATACTGGTAGCTATGGGCAAAATCAGGAGTAACACTTCCAAAATGGTAAAGGCGTAGTTTAGAAAAAAAATAAAATAACAAATAAGGCAATAATAAGACTGATTGTCGCAAGCCAGTTGGTATTCTAAGTGAAAATAGAAAGAACATGTAGCTGGAGGAATATAATCTCAGTCTAGTGAGAACGTGTTTTATAAGGAGATTGGTTGTTCTACAGCAACATATGTCAGTGGATTTGCCACAACAAAACAAGTCAGACTGCTTTCAAAGAGCGCTGAAAACTGGCACTATATTGCAGTCAAGGTCTCTATCTTTTTCTGGGTTTTTTTTTGTTTTTTTTTAACTTGGAATGTTTAGAGCTATTTACCTGCATCATACGGCTGCGTGGCTAGCCGGCTGGCTTCAGGATATAGATGTAACTGCATGATAACACCAGGGTAAGTTAATTTTGGCCAGGACAGAAACTAATTAGTGTGAAATGAGTTTTATGCCTTTAGGGTCCCGTGTGAATAAAAGGCAAATAACTATCTTGTGTAGAAATAAATAGACGGTACAATGTACAAACAGATTTCATGGCTATTTAGAAAGTGTTTGTTGTACAGGATCCTCTAACAGTTTTATTAATGTCAGA